TATGAGCGTATTGTAGCCAAAAACCACAATAGTAAGTTGATCATTTATGAATATACGAAAAAGAACTCATATGAGTAAGTACTCGTTAGTATCGAATAATTTCTGTCGATACTTGAATAATATCCAATATTTCGCACGTCACTATTTGAGCGTAATTCACATCGTAAAAATGGTTAATTTGACCGAGCAAAGCTATATTTGTCTTGTTTTCTGCCAATATATTTGTCAAAATTTACATCTGCATGTCCCAGTCGAAGACAAAGTAAATGAATTTGAAATGTTTTTCCAAATCTCCTATCTCTAATAAAATACAGTAATATTGAAGAGTGATATGAATTATATCGTATATAATTTTAATTTTATAACAAAATTGCTTTTCAAACTGACGCTTTTTTTGTTTTTAATCGGGTTAATCCCGTGATCCGTATAATATGGGAATATTTTACTCTCTCTCGCACGAATTGGATGACACAGTTTCATAATTCTCTTTTATTGTTCGGTTTGTTTATCGATACCTGGGGTAAAAAAAAACAAGAAAACCATTAAATACTGGTACAGTTAATTAACTGATAAATTTTCAATTTGAACGCTTCCAAAGGAGAAAACAATTGTTTTCATTGATTTTTTTTATATTATAATTTCCAACTTTACAAGTTTCCTATTAATTATAATCAGCATTAGAGGGGTGGCGAGATAAAAGGATGGGAGGAAATGAATAAAGAGATAGGCGTTAGTGGATTGGGCTTTGTTGCAATAACAATTTCCCCATTTTCAATGAAATGAAGTTAAGCGTGAAGATTATTGTACACATAATGTATATAATTAACGCTTAATTATTATTGTGTCGGTTGGCAAGCGCTCTGATTTTTAAATTAGTTCACCTCCGACTTGATTTTCTGGTATATCACGGTATCTGCCGACAGGCCGACTCTTCTGGCAACTTTCTGTCAATGACGCGTAACTTTTTTGACGACTGCTAATGTATGGGGACGTCAAATTTATCTGGGAATGCTACTCATGTTGCGGTTTAAAAAACAAAAACAAAAAAAAAGAAAGAAAGAAGTTTGTTGCTCCCACTACTCGAGGGCCAGTGTCGTTTTTTCCCCATTACGATCTAGCAAAAAGTGTCCTACATGACAAATGGCCAAACTTTCAAAACGACTGGCTTCCGAACAGATGCCGTTATGATTTCATCTAATCGGTTCACATTCCCCCCCCCTACAGAAAACTATTTTAAAGAGAAGCCCCTTTCTTTATTAATAATACTAACGGTGTTCCAATAAAAACTTTTTCAGCTGGTGCTAGAAATTTTATTAATACAAGTCAACAAATAAGGTTGGGGTGGAAAAATGTTAAATTAAAAGCCTTCAGTTTCCCAAATTGTGTGTTTTTAATTACAATTAGAACTTAGATTAAAAATCCATAACCTGATGAAATTCTACTAAATACTGGAAATACATTTAATCAATATTTAATATTAATAATTCATGTTTGTGTTGTGTCTGCGTTGTGTTTAGGTTAATTTATTGAAATGAATGTAATTTATTAGCGTGAAAGGAATGAGTTGCTTAAGATTACGGTTACTACCGATGCGAATTTTGAAGAAATTTTTTTCTGACGAGTATGTCCGAAATCCTCATCAGAACAAGGTTGTGCGCATTTCCTGATAGTAAGTTTCTGCCTCTCAGCAAAACGGACGAACTCGATGAGTTTTATTTTCTTTAAAGTCCGTTGATTAAGCTATTGTTCATAAATGGTGGGAAAATAGAGCAAGTTAACCACTTATTTTCCACAGGAGACTAGAAGGGAGTGTTTCAAACTGATTTCTAGTCCGTTAAAAAATATGCATATTAATCCTTGCATGACCGTATTAATTAATGATTATTCGGAAATGGTGAGATGGGGTCTGGTGTGACGTAGGTTTGAGAAAAACATTTTCTTTATCGTGCCAACGTTTCGATCTTCATTGAGACCATCTTCAGGGCTCAATGTGTTTGTTTTCTGTGTGATTGTGCCATTCTGCGTGTCGAGCGGGCACTCTCAATTGCAAGAATGGCACAATTACACAAAAGACAAACACTTTGAGCCCTGAAGATGATCTCAATAAAGATCGAAACGTTGGCACGATAAAGAAAATGGTTTTCTCAAACTTACATCACACCAGAACGCATCTCACGATTTCTGAATATTTATAAACTCTCAACACGACACACAAGGATGGCACAATTACACAGAAGACAAACACTTTGAGTGAGTAGAAATACTTTGTTTGAATATAAAATATATTTTGCATTGTATAAATTCACTTATCCACATCCTAAATGTATTTGTTAAATGTAAACATTGTTTGTAAATCCCAGGCCCTGAAGATGATCTCAATAAAAGATCGAAACGTTGGCACGATAAAGAAAATGTTTTTCTGAAACCTACATCACTCCCGACCGCATCTCACGATATCTGAATAACTATCGATTAACGGTCACTAATCTCTACACATATAAAAATTATTTAATTATGATGGTTAGGAAGAAAATTTATCAAAACACCGGAATACCATTTATTGATAGAAATGAATTTAACTAACAATTTATTTCATGGTTTTGCTCATAAAATTACACCATTTTCGTCGAGTAGCGTCAGAACAGGCCACTCATATTTTTTGTAGTTTATTCCAAATTATGTATATGTAATTTTTGTCGTTATATTAATTGCAATAGTCTTGTGTGTCGTGTTAAACACCGCACATATTAATTGAAATGAAATTTGAAAAATGGCAAAAAGAGGGAAAATTCGAACGTTCGTAGGGTGAGATGAGTTGGTGTCCGAGGGAATTGAAGTCACGATAGCTCAAGTTGTTAGAGCAGTGGCGTATTTAGCCGAAGGTCGTGGGTTCGAATCCCGCTCGTGACACTAATTTTTCATCTCAACCAAAAACCTTAGATAAAAAGAATTATTCATTAAAATAATTAATATGGTTAATTATGACCACTAACCAAATATGGCTTATTGCTAGTATATGTCTTGAGAAACTTTCTCCCACTTCGAGAAATATCTCTGTTGTGATATTTTTTGTCGTTCAAGTTCCACAAACACCGATTTTCAAAAACAAGACTAATCAGTTTATCCATGGTGAAATACCAAAACGGTCTAAATTGAACGTCAAAACGCACGAAAAAATCAAACTGGTTTGAACGCTCGAATGGTTCTGCCGACATCGTGCGTGTTCTGACGTGCACTTCGCTGCCAAAGGAAACACTCTCGCTGAAAAACAAGTATTTGTTTGTTCGAACGAACTCGTCAGAACAAAATTTCGTTAGAATTCGCATCCATAGCAACCGTAGCCTAACTCCGCTCCGAGTAGTATCGAATAATATGGGGGAATGAAGGTGACAATATTTTTATGTTTCTATTAGGCACTGTGTTTATGTTAATTTATTGAAATGAATGTTATTTATTAGCGTAAAAGAAATGAGTTGCTTAACCCAGCTCCGAGGAATATCGAATACTTTGGGTGAGTGTGTGACGTCTGGAGAGTAAAAGTAAGTTAATAATTATTCGGAGATCATGAGATTATACAGCATCTGAGATGATTGATGACGTAGGTTTTAGAAAAACATTTTCTTTATCTGCTAACGTTTCGATCTTTATTGGGATCATCTTCAGGGCTCATAGTGTTTGTTTTCTGCGTAGTTGTGTCATTCCTGTGTGTCGTGTTGGGAGTGCCAGTGATCTCAATAAAGATCGAAACGTTGGCACGATAAAGAAAATGTTTTTCTAAAACCTACGTCACACCAGAGCGCATCTCACGATCTGTAAATAGCCAGTACATATTAAACTTTTTGAAAGGCATCTATTAAAATTTTTTGACATCACAGGAATAAGGCTGATAGGAAAATATGTGGTGGGAGGTTTGTGAAAGTTAATGACTACGGAATACCATGAGATATGAGAGGAAAGCGAGTTTTTCCTATTTTACTTTTTGGTAAACTGAAGCTGTTCATGGAGGGTTCTGGCTTTTGGATAGGATTCGGAATAAAAGCAGAATTGCCGGGTTACTGATGGTGTTAGAATGTATAAAAAATTCAGCAGTGTAAATGAATTACAGCATGGGACTAAGAATGTTCCCTTGTAAGACGCCGTTTATTTTAGTCGATATTTGAATATTCCTTGACGCACATCACTTTGAATTGGTCAATTTAAAAAAATCTTGGATAATAAGCTTTTAAATTTATAAAGGATTTCTTGCTTTTAGACCCAATTAAAATCCTATGCCATATTCAGGAACACACCAAGTATTTTTTCTCCAGAGCGGTGGAAATAGTCTCAATAATTGTGACACCTTGCTGGCTAGAGGAATAATTGGGACGGAAGCCGAATTGGTGTGAAAGAATGATTCTATGTAGATCTAGGACGGAGTATGTTTGTGAGCTTCAGAAATGATAATTATCACGGTGACTACGGAATACTTAATAGGAAAGCATTGCATTTTGGAAGGCAGAATGATGGAAAGGTTGGGAAGGAGATGAGGTGCATCATTTATATCTATAATTAATGTTTAATGGTCAAAAAATTAGTCATTTCTTTAGAAGTCATCTAAGAGTGCACGAAGAAATAGCCATTAAAAACTTGGTGATTGCGGGCTAATTTTGTGATAATTATATTTGGTGTGATCGATGATTGCGTGATATGCGATGATCAATGAGAGGTTTTAATAATGTGAGTCCTTTTGAATACCACTTTCATTTGCTAACAAGCCGCCGGAAGGGCTGCTAATTAAGGACGTACAACTATCCCTGGAATATTTCCTTGCATGGACAATAGGGCTCGCGCTTCTCAAAGGCATTACAGCCATCCCAGGAATATTAGGATACTTCAAAGCACATCAAAAGAACCTTCTGCGACTAAACTGAAGTTTCACAAATAATTAATTAAAAACAAATTATCTGTGATATTCCAGGTTGTGGAGTGCGTTTTATCTCAAAGAAAAATTTTTGTTTCAGAGTTAAAAATTGGGCTCTGAAATTCGGCGTGGACCTGTGGGAGTTTGGCCGCCAATTCACGAAGATGAACGAGATCCAAAGGGTAAGTTCTTTTAACATTCTTAACAGCCTTACTTAAAATTAATATTTTAAAAAATTGAAAATTTCCATCGACTATACACTCCAACAACAGAATCCCACTGATTAAAAAGTTTAACTTTAATCTTAAACGACTTATTTTGAAGCATAGATTAATTATACACGTTGATGTCACACCGTCGAAGTAAGTAGACACACGTACAAATCCTCAGGGTCTTTTGTAGTAAATCCTCCGAGACGCGTTATTTGCTCAGATGGGCGAAAAATTAAATATTTTGAGAAGAACGTGACCCGAATAGGCCGATAGTTCTGTCGTGCAAAGTTTATCAATAGGAGATATAGCGGAGAAATTGAATCTCTTCCTCAAGAGGAGCTTTAATGAAACGTAATGAAATTGAATAAAATTCCATCGAAGGGAACGCCTAGTTGATGTAATTTTTCCAATAAAAATTGAATATTCTAATCAACCGATTTAACTGTTCACTATGGATGTTTAAAAATTGAATTTATCGAAACTCTGCGTCAATAGTTCTGAAGTTTTATCCTTCAAATTATCCTTATATTAACCTTTTTTCAATTTTCTTCTTTCAAACATTTCAAATAAACTGTTAACCTTTAAAGTGTAACCTTTTAATTTTAATTTGTATTAATGTTTACGTGCTTTTTAATTGCTTTAAAGAAAAGTTTAATTTGAAATTAAAAATAGTTAGTTTGAAGTTAACAAGGTTTAATTGGAATTTGAAAATAGTGGGTTTGAAATGAGAAAGGTTAATTCGAAATTGAATATGGTTAGTGTGAAATTAACAAGGGTTAATTTGAAATTAAAAATAGTTAATTTCAAATTAAAACTAGTTAATTTGAAGTTGAAAAGAGTGGATTTGAAATTAGAAAGGTTAATTTGAAATTGAATATGGTTAGTTTGAAGTTAACAAGGGTTAATTTGAAATTAAAAATAGTTAATTTGAAGTTGAAAAGAATGGAGTTGAAATTAGAAAGGTTAATTTGAAATTAAAAAAGATTAATTTGAATTAGAAAAGTGTGGATTTGAAATTAGAAAGGTTAATTTGAAATTAAAAAAAGATTAATTTGAAGAAAAAAACTATATTTTTATTTGAAAAGTGTGAATTTGAAATTAGAAAGGTTAATTTGAAGTTACAAATGGTTAATTTGAAGTTACCAAGGGTTAATTTGAGATTAAAAATGGTTAATTTGAATTTGAAAAGTGTGGATTTGAAACTAGAAAGGTTAACTTGAAGTTAAAAATGGTTAGTTTGAAGTTAACAAGGGTTAATTTGAAATTAAAAATAATTAATTTGAAATTGAAAAGAGTAGATTTGAAATTAAAAATGGTTAGTTTGAAGTTAACAAGAGTTAATTCGAAATTAAAAATAATTGAAAAGAGTAGATTTGAAATTAAAAATGGTTAGTTTGAAGTTAACATTTGAAATTAAAAATGGTTAGTTTGAAGTTAACAAGAGTTAATTCGAAATTAAAAATAATTAATTTGAAATTGAAAAGAGTAGATTTGAAATTAGAAAGGGTTAATTTGAAATTAAAAATGGTTAGTTTGAAGTTAACAAGGGTCAATTTGAAATTAAAAATAGTTAATTTGCAGTTGAAAAATGAATTTGAAATTAGAATAGTTAATTTGAAATTAAAAAAGATTAATTTGAATTAAAAATGCTATATTTGAACAAATAATATTTTTGAGCATTATCTGTGGAAAAAACCGATCTTACATAAAAAATTTAAGAGAGTTTATAAATGGTGTTAAGCACATCCAGAGGAGTAAAAATAAATGAACACCATCGCTAAATAAATTCATAAGGAACGCCATAAACAGTTCGCCCGAAACAACTGAAGAAGGAATAGATAAAAAAAATCTTATTTTCAAATGTAAAAACCATACCTCAACGGAGCTGACTGTTATATTATTTCACGACCAACTGTAAGAAAATATGGTATTTGGTAAAGACGAGTAGGTGGTGATGGTATGGGTTGGCATCGGTTTCAATAGGAAAAGAGAAATTGATTTCGTTTCTGGTATAACAGTATACAATATCTAGAATTAATAGAAATTAATTTAACAAGGATTTCAGAGACGATATCAAGTGAACAAGTCGTATTCTAAAAGGACAATGCTCCTGTCCATACAGCACAAATGTTAAAAGCTTTTATTAAAAAAATCAAGTTTTGGAATGGCCAGCTATATTTACAGATTTGATAATAATTGAAAATGTCTAGTGAAATCTTGTAAGGGCTGTTTATAAGGGCCAGTTCTAAAACAGGGAAGAGATGAAGCGCACGATCCGAGAGGAATGAGATGGGGTTCGATCCCGCTCGTGACACTAATTTTTCATCTCAACCACAAACCTTAGATAAAAAGAATAATTAATTGGAATAATTAATATGGTCAATCATGACCACTAAGCAAATATGGATTAATTTAACAATTAAAGAGAAGTATTTGATATGACAATTTTGTAATAAAACGTATCCAGGAATTGGAGGTAAAATCTTTTCTACTAATGTATGGAATTTGAGTGAAGTAGAAAATTTTTTTTAAAAATAAATTTAATGACCAACAAGAGGCTAGAAACTGGATAAAACATATGAGAGAGAATGTCTTAGGCATAAAATAGTGGACGTAACAGCAAAAGTAGAAAAATTAGAAAAAATAATAATTAATTGTAATAATTAATATGGTCAGTTATGACCACACGACATTTGAGAATATGGAAAAAAGAGGGAAAATTCGATCGGTTGAAATGAGGAAATTGTGTCCCAGGGGATCGAAGTCACGGTAGCTCCAAGTGGTTAGATTAGCGAAGTATTGAGCCGAAGGTCCTGGGTTCGAATCCCGCTCGTGACACTAATTTTTCATCTCAACCAAAAACCTTAGATAAAAAGAATAATTAATTGGAATAATTAAAATATACTCTTATTTCCAGGGCCTTATACCTTACTGGCAGATAATTACCAAGATATATTTAAAATGTAACAAAAGAAGTTTTATGATTTAAAAATTAATGAAAGCAATAAAATTTAACAAATGGCCAAAATATTAGAGAAAGTCTATCTTTTCCTCCCGGATCTTATCTGACCTCACTTATTCACCGGAAAATGGAAATTCGGTTTCACCCGCATGCATAAAACAAGCCGAACGATTTATCAGATGTTCGAAACTGCGACTCTTGAAGAGACAGTCATGAATTTCGAAACATTTTCACGATTGACTTCTGTTCCTCGGTTCGACCAGGGCGGGTCAAAAGCTCACGGCCACTAGCCCTTTTTTGTGTGAAATTCATGCTATTAGGAAATTCTTATGGTAAAAAGGAAAGCACGATAACTTTTTGCTTGTGGGCGCTACGGCAAAACATGTCTGACATCGCTATACCGATTAGGCCATGTGGACCGGAATAATTACAAATAAATTACACTATAATTTAGTGGTAATTATCGATCCTGATCATATTGCTTGGCAAGTTTATGTAAAACACTAATTAAAAAATGTTTTCCAATGTTTATTAATGTATTTTTAAAAAAAGACCTTTTAGACGTTTGTAGGGGCGTCAGTGGCCACAACGGTCTAGGCGTTGACACGGCGCTCGTCACTGTAAGGTAAAGGTCCCGGGTTCGAAACCAGCGGCCCTGCATTCGAACCCGACATACTTACAGATGGCCTTTTTTTCAAAAACACCGGCACCCTGACGGTTGATATGTCCTCTGCTGTTGCCAACCCTCGTTAAAAAATAAATAAATAAATAAATAAATAAACAAGTAAGTGTTTTTTGTAATTTACAAATTAAACCGATTGGTACAAACAGTATACAATGAAATGGATGTATATGTATAAATACACATGCGTATAATTTTAATGAATGTTAACAGCACTAATCATCCTCAATTATCGCGCTTTGGGCCAAAATGGAATTTTTTCCGTGCGAGTTTTTGTTATAGAAAACACTGGCTTTTTCCTTCTCCGAATTACATGCCTAAAAATAGGTGTGTGTGTGTGGTGATTAGTGACTGTTAATCGATAATTATTCAGAAATCGTGAGATGCGGTCTGGTGTGATGTAGGTTTCAAAAAAACATTTTCTTTATCGTGCCAACGTTTCGATCTTTATTNTTAGGCCCTGAAGATGATCTCAATAAAGATCGAAACGTTGGCACGATAAAGAAAATGTTTTTCTGAAACCTAAAAATAGGGGTTTTCTCAGAGGGCCATCGTTCGGCCATCGGCTCCTTTGCCGCATTCTTTACCCCTGAGATTCTGAACCTTAAGAAAAGGATCGTCCTAATCAGATTGAGGAGCTGTACCCGACTGACTCACGGACACCCGATGATTTTGTGTCAAAACCCGCGCAGGTTCCCTGTTTGTAGAATAAGGTTGCTCAGTATGCCGGATCTGTGAAAGGTGAAGGTGCCATACCTTGGCCCTTAGAGGGAGCGAATAGGCATGTCCTATGATAGAGATGGTATTAGGGTCAATTGTTGGGCCCCCTGTTCCACTTCTTAAGAGAAACGGGGGCTGTTTCCTCACATATACAATTATGTATACTGTGTGTATATTTAAATGTACATGTGTTTATATGTACGTTAATAATAATTATATGTGTATGTAATCGACATTTGAATAATGGCAAAAGGAGGGAAAACTCATAAGGTGGGGTTGAGATGGGGAGTTGATGTCCGAGTGGATCGAGGTCACGACAGCTCAGGTGGTAGAGCAGCGGCGTATCAAGCCGAAGGTCGTGGGTTCGAATCCCTCTCGTGCCATTAACTTTTTTCATCTCAACTAAAAACCTTAATTAAGTGTATAGTATTAATTGGTCAAGCGGATCACGAAATTAGTGAATTTAATAATTTACAATATCTCACAAAAGACAAAAGCCAAAACAACACAAGGAAGGTATAAAATAAATGTTACCCTAATTTAGATGGCATAAAAAGTCTTAAAATTTCTAGATTTTGTTCTTCCACTCCAACGTCCTTAGAAGCA